TGGGAAAGTTTTCTTCAAAGTCATTGAAATATGGGACTAATCTTTGTCTAATGACTTAGGTATCATCCTACCTACATATAACAAATACATTTATTACTAGTCTATTTTCATGCCATTCCCTGAGTAAAAGTTTGAATATAACAGCTGCCGATATTGACTCTGATACTTGTCTAATGTTTAACATTTGATGACATCTGATGTAAAATTGATGCTTTTTTTCAACAAGATTCTCATCTATCTCTGAGATAATTTCCTGAATTAGCAAAATCCATTTCCAGAAATGTGTTCTTGTTTGTTTATATGGTCATGATGGTCAGCTTCTTTTATCCCTTGAAAATAGGTCAGCTGCAACCTGTCGCAATACTGTAGTAATTTAGTAAATTTTGTGATGAATAAAATAAAATATATTTTGGTTGTTTTTGTTGTGATGAATAAAATAAGATATCTTTTGGTTGTTTGGGTTGCTGTCTCATTGAAGTATATTCCACATTGCTTTTTATTCATAAATATATGTGGAACTGGTCAAAGTGCCATCCTTATGTAATCTGGACCTTTTTTTTGTTTAAAAATTCTGGTCAAAGATCTGTTACTAGGTTGAAATATTTGTTTATTCTTAAATAAGCAACTTTTCAAGTGCCACACACTTACTTGAGTATATTTTGACCTTTGAGTGATTTACTGATTTACTTTATGAGAATATTAAGAATAGTGGTCTAAGAGTCCATGTACTTCGTGATTTTCACTTATGTCATTCAAGAGTTTTTGGACTCAAATTGTCAAAAATAGAGAAACACATATTGCTCAGTAAATATGGCTTGAATAATTAACTTCATCAATATTTTTCAAAAAGCGTAACATGGATTCATGGCACAGCTGTTTATTTTCTCAGATACCCCGTCTACACATTCATTTTAAAAAGAGTTGGATCACTGCATCCTTGAAAAAAGATATATACGCACAGCAATTTAGCTCTGTTTCTTAGTTTTTGAAAGGATATTTTTATCTGTTTCATTTGAGATATTTGGTTGATTTCAGTTGTTGAATTTCTATGGAAACTTGTAGTTAACTAAATCAATACAAGTAGCATTTATTAATATCACTGATAGACATTTAGTAACTCTTTGCTTTCCCCAGTGAGTTGGACTTAAAAGCCTTCGTTTTTGCGTAAAAGTTACATAAATGATTTTGGTATATAAGTCTGATGTGTTTAACAATAAATCTTGAACTGTGTACTCAACAATGTTTACTTTGTTTCCCACATCAATTTACAGGATAATTCTAACAAAACAATCACAGGCGTTGGTTTTGTTTACCGATAGAATTTCAATAAAATTTTTCAATTCCGTCACATGATTAGATGAAGAAATTTGTTTAGCTTACTTGGGCTTCAATTAGAATCTAATGATTCATTCAGCAGTGACAACAATTAAAGTATTTACTGAATTAGTAAGTCATGTCATTAATTCTACATTTTGAAATACCAAAGATTCAGTTTCAATTATTTTAGTGTGTGTCAGGGATTTAGGAAAAAATTGTGTCTTTGTGGTTTTGACTTATACTGCAGTCAAGCCTATTAGAAATTATGTATACTATTTTAGTTCAATATTTGAATTCATGGTACATCTTTACCCCAAGTAATCTACTAAAATTAATATGTTGTGAATAATATGAATTCACAGTACGGGGTAGGAAGACTCCAAGTCCAATGATATCTGGCTGATGGGCAGACAGGCAGGGAAAAGTGGGTACCTACTACCTAATTTGTATAATAAACTCCTCCTACAGTTTTAAACCAGATCTCTGACACTTCACAGGAAGGTTGCTCATATGTTGAAGTTGTGCACCTACTATTATGGAATTGTTGGAGGAATGTACACATTTTTCCAGATTTGAAACTTATCTTTTTTCATCAAAACTAACAAAACATGGTACCAATTTAGGGTTATCAGCAACTCCTACAGTTTTTAACCCAGATCACTGAAACTTCTCAGAAAGATTGCACATATGTTGAAGCCATGCACCCGCTAGTATAGAATTATTTTAGATTCATTTTACCATTTTTCTAAACTAGACAACTTAGTTCTTTTTTTTAGCAAAGTTACAAAAGACAATACCAATTTTGTGTTATCAACTTCTACTAATAGTTATTAACCCAGATCCTTGAAACTTCACATAATGATTTCTCATATTTTGCAGTTGTACATCTTCTATTCTTTGAGGGACCTCACAAAGATTGCAAAGATATTTGATTCTGTCATGTCTGTTTTTCCATTTTGTTGCCTGAAATGTTCAGTAAAGACCATTCTCCATTCCATTGTTTAGGAAACATTCTTTGCAACCCTGGCCATTTGAGTTTCTGATTCATTAAAAAAATTGTATCTATTTGGGATGATTTTACAAAATTTTGTTGCCTAAAAACATCTGATCTTGTAAAAAAAATTTTTTGTTAACTTAAAGCATTATCACATTCAAGCTTTTAACAGTAGTATAATCTTAATTAAAAGGCACAATTGACAGTAGGACATGCTTTCACCATATTTTTTCAGTTAACCTAGAGTCATAATCTTTCCTTGTGCAGAGGTTCTAGCAAGTATAGGTTTTTGATAATAAGAACTATTAAGATTCAAAACTGGCCAAAAAGTCAATTTAAATCAAAACCAGGTATGACTAGGTGTTACTAATTTAAAAAAAAAGAGCACAGGACAAATTAAAATGTTATATATATATTGCTCATCTTGATATGATATTACACATAAAATTGAGAATGGAAATGGGGAATATGTCAAAGAGACAACAACCCGACCAAAGAGCAGACAACAGCCGAAGGCCACCAATGGGTCTTCAACACAGCGAGAAAATCACGCACCCGGAGGTGGTCCTCAGCTGGCCCCTAAATAAAATTGTGTACTAGTTCAGTGAAAATGGACGTCACACTAAACTCCAAAACATATTATAAATGAACTAAAATTTAAAAACATACAAAGACTAACACAGGCCAGAGGCTCCTGACTTGGGACAGGCGCAAAAATGTGGCGGGGTTAAACATGTTTTGTGAGATCTCAACCCTCCCCCTATACCTCTAGCCAATGTAGAATAAAGAAACACAGCAATACGCACAGTAAAACTCAGTTCAAAAGAAGTCCGAGTCCGAAGTCAGAATAGGTAACAAAAGAAACTAGGCAAAATGACAATGATACATAAATGAACAAAGGACTACTAGCAATTACTGACATGCCACCTCCAGACTTCAATTTAACTGATTGAAAGATTATGTCTTCATCATATGAAAATCAAGTACAATCCCTCCTGTAAGGGGTTTAGTATCATACCAACATAAAATATATGAGAAGAACATAACCCATATCATGCCAATAACTGGTTTTAGAATAAATGTGTTTATTTCCAATGCAAAGACCCTTTGAGTGAATCAATATTAATACCAAAATATGCAATCCTTAATGACTTGACAACGGTATCGTAACTATATCCTTTCCGAATAAGTCTCTTTAAAGGTTTGGTTAGCTTTTGAGGTGAATGCCGACATTTTTGTGCTTTGTAAAGAATATTACCATAAAATGTTGGATGTGAAATACCCGAACGTATAAGATGTCTGCATGTTGATTTATATTTACGAATGATGTCCTTGTACCGATGATAAAATTTAGTAAATGTTTTGACTAGTTTGTGATATCGAAAATCCTGGTGTAATAATTTTTCATTAATACAGAGATTTCTTTCGTTGAAATCAAATACGTTGTTACATACACGAGTGAATCGAACAAATTGAGATATATAAACACCATAAGATGGTGACAAAGGAAGGTCACCATCTAAAAATGGATAATTAACAATAGGAAATGAAAAGTCATGAATCTCTTTTATCATAAATTTTGGTATTAAGCTTCCCGTTAAAGAAATAGATATCAAGATCCAGGAAAGGGCAGTGTTCATTGTTAGTATTAGCTTTATTTAAAGTCAGTTCAGCAGGATAAATCTCTTTAGTGTACATACTGAAGTCATCATTATTGAGAGCCAATATATCATCTAATTATCTAAAAGAGTTATTAAATTTTTGAATCAGTATTGTTTCGATAAGTCTTTGCTGATTTTAGTCATAAATTGTTACTCATAACAATACAGAAACAGGTCCGCAATAAGTGGTGCACAGTTAGTCCCCATGGGAATTCTGATAACCTGACGATATACGGAATCTCCATAGCGAACAAAACTGTTATCTAGTAAAAATTCAAGGGTAGTTATCGTATCAAAGCAGGTCCAATTGACATAGTTCTTTTGTTTGTTGTTACTAAAAAATGACCTTAAAGAGTTTGAACATATATATTCACATTACGACTTTTTAAATGCCCATTTAATCAGGTGTGTGAATTTTTTCCTAATAAGATTATGAGGCAAAGTGGTATATAGGACTGAAAAATCAAAACTTTGAACAGATTTGAAATCACCAATATATGCATGCAATTTATCAAGTACTTCCAACGAATTTTTGACACTCCAAAAGTAATTAATTCCACTATTTTCAAAGGCCTTATTTGAACAATTTATTATCAGGTTTTTGATTGTACCAAGTGTACTTACTAGTAAGTATAATAGATAGTTTAGTAGGGGAACAATGGCTTGAAGACGAAATAAATCTATATTTGTAAGGAGTTTTGTGCAGCTTCGGAAGCCAGTACATAGTTGGAACAAATACCTGCTTATAACTCTGCCAACATTTAACCACAACAGATTGTTGTCATACTGTGATAAAAGTGGTTAATATGAACAAAATGAAAATTGTTAAGGTAATTGAAACACACAATAAGAATTCATTTATATATCCTTAAATTACTATTTACATATATGCTCAAAAGTAATTAATAATATCTTTTTATATAAAATGGATGAATTAGATGTATTTGTCATTAACTGATATTTTTTATCAAATGTGCTTTTTCAAATTTTTCAGAGAAACAATTTTCTACTTATACTTCTTCTTTCAGGTGGCTATCAAAATAATAGATACAAGGAAAATCAAAGAGGAATATGTACAGCTAAATCTACATCGGGAAGCTAGAATACTGGGGCAGCTTCGTCACCCAAACATAATAAGGTTATATGAAACTCTAAAGGTTAGTCTTCTGTGTTTTCTCTCATGAAACTAGTTCTAGATTGCTCTCACATCTGACGGCCTTTTGGGGACTTGCTCTGCCACAGCCTTAAAAGATACCCTCAAACGTCTGAAAAAGAAAAAATGGTTACATATTAATCAAAGGGTACATTAAAACAATTTGGAGAAAACTTATGTATAACCACAAATGAATTCTGTTGTTGCTTTTAACATAGTAATAATTCAATATTATAAAAAAAAAAAAAAAATATGTTTATCATATCAGCCCTTCAAATCTTTATAAATTTCAAAATCAAAAGAGAGTATTTTTTGTCCTGAGGACTTGTGATTCTGGTAATGCATTTACAATAGCAGAAAATTTAGCATGTCTAAATTGAGAACACATTTCAGAACTTGTCAACACTAAAATGTCCAAGGGGAAAGAGATGTGTGTGACAACTTACAAGTAGATTGTCTAAAATTCCATTATGCTGTCGGTGATGACCAATGTTTTATCAGTTCTTTTGTTTCCTGTCAAGACAGATTACAGTCTGACAGAATTCTGGAAGAATTAGTGCTTGCAGACATTTTATTGAAAATGGAAGTAACTTAAAGACTCGCTTGGAAACCCAGTAAAATAAAAAATGGATTAGAAAAGTAATTGATAATTGATTTCCAGGTATCATTTGTAAATGGCCATCAGACATTTCCAATAAAATTTTTTCAGGAAAGCAATTTTATAGTTGCATTAGATTTCCTTCACACATTTAACAGAATTTTATTGGCTTAAAATTGTGAAAATATTGAAAGTCCTTGATTTTGCATAAAATGCTTACAGTATAACAAATCTATTTTTATTGATAAATGTGATCAGCATATTTCATGCAATTTGTTATATAACAATATTTTTCTTTGTGTGAACAGCATATTTCATACAATTTGTTATATAACAATATTTTTCTTTGTGTGAACAGCATATTTCATGCAATTTGTTATATAAAATATTTTTCTTTGCATGGTTACCCTTTGTCATCAAATCTCAGCACCTATCATATTAATGGTTGATCTTGAATTAGATATTTAAGCTGAAAGTTTCAAATTTCAAATGTAATGAAATTAACTATTTGTGTGGTAATTGTTTTGTCAAGTGACACCAAATTTCCCCAACAAACTAGAAGAGCGATTCAAACATTTTTATTAATTTAAATGTTTTTTTTTTTAGTGCAATGAAATTATTTTGCACTTCATCAGAATAAGAATAACACAGTACTATTATTGAAGACTTCCTTCCTTTTTACTTGTTCTGTGTCATCAAGAGATGAGATATTATTGTTTTAGACTGTCAACTTCCCTATTGATGACAAAAGGTCTTCAATATTGTTGTATTATTTTATATAATTTCTAAAATTTGTATCAGTTCTCACTGATTGAGCAGGTCACATTTATAAATTAAGCAAGACTTAAATGCTCTGAAATGAAACTGACTTTTCATTATTTGAATCGGCAAGATTGTTATTTCTTACTTTATGTAATTGGAGATAGTACCTTACAATGGCAATCTTCTCACATCTTATGTAAGAACCACTTCACCACAAAATCATGCAAAATGTGATTCATGGGTGGAAAGCATACATGTTTATATTTTTGATATTTTGTTCATAATGCAAAGTTATTAAATTACCTATAACTTTTACTTTTACCCATGGTCATGGGAGATATAAATCATATGAAATGCGCTATGAAAAGTCTGAAAAGGGAAATAACTCCATAATCCACAAAAAATTCAATTGAAAATATTAAGTCAATTTTCTTTCGTATAAATCAGCCAATAGGAGAAGATAAATCCATTTCATAATGTTTGATCTTAGTAAAATATCAAAATTAAAAATGTGTAATCTTTCTTGGGGTGAATCACATTTTTCATAAAATGTAGAAGGCTACTTGAGCAACGATCTCTGGAAAAAGTGTACTGTAAATTCAGAAATTATTGCGTGCATTTATTATTGCGATTTTTGAAGAATTGACAAAAATGTGAGTTTAATTATTGCGATAGTCAAGTAGTCGCATTATTAGCATCAATAAAAACCTTGCAATAATTTCTGAATTTACAGTAGTTAAACCTTCATATGTACAAGGATTTGCAAATCCTTGATATGTAAAATATATACAAAAATCAGTTGATTTTTTCAGAAAGCAAAAAAATGTTCATCAGTACCAGAAAATGTAGTCTGATGTAAAATGGTGACTATTGTTCATCTTTAGTGATCCTAGGGGCCTCGGTGGCTGAGTGGTCTAAGTAGTAAAACTACTGTATCACTAGCCTGTCAACACTTGAGGTTGTGAGTTCGATTCCAGCACGTGGCAGATGTGTTTGACTCCAATCTTAATTGACTAGGATTGTCAGTGTTCATACTGAAGGTCTATGACTCTCTCCGGGCACTCTGGCTTCCTCCACCAATAAAAGCTGACCGCCATGAGATACCACAATAGTGCTGAAAGTGGCGTTTAACACCAATCAATCAATCAATTTAGTGATCAAATATTAAATTATGAGATTGGGAACTCAATTAATTATTGATTGGTACTATATAATTTCTTAAATTACATGATAGGTTTTTTTTTTATACTTTTAGTTTACTGCATTAATATTTAAAGCATTTGTAATTACAACACAATTTCATAGTATTGAACTGTTTGCTAGGAGTTGTGTTTTAAATGGATTTGCACCAATTTTACACATGGTTATATGTCATTCCAAGTATGATAGTATAGAAGTTAGTATACTGATAAAATATAAATTTGTTGATATGCTTGAGAACTGGTATTGATTACAGCTTCTTATGGGACAAATGTGGAAACCTGCAGAGAGATAAAGTCTGGTTAACCTTTAGTCTTTGAATTAGGACAAAAGTTCTTGCATAATTAACTATAAACCCTTATATCATTTTATGATTATTGTTTCTAAACAAATTAAGATTATGAAATATTTGTTCAAGCAAGAAGGAACTTTATGGCCTTGTTTGTAGATATAGAAACAAGTAATGGTAATCCAAGTAGGTTATGCAGCAATCATTTTGTTATTTCTACCAGTAGGGTCATTACTCATTAAAACTTTTGTTGAAACCATGTACTGAAGATTTTGCAATGGTTATGGTTTTAAATTCAAACATTTATTAGATATTATGGCATACTTGTATAGACATTGAAGGAATCACAATCAAAATCATGTTATACATTTTAGAAGATGTGCCATATGGGGATCAACCTGATTACTCAACAAACCAGAAGACCTGAGTTTTAACAAGTATTTTTGCAAGGGTTAGGGTTCTTCTCATCTTTGCAATATTTAAAAAGGGTTTCATTGACCAATAAGACTAAAACTCCTAAGTAAAATAAGAGATTAACCCCTAATAGTGACAATACAAACAATCCAAAAATTTTGATATTCTGGTGATATTTTTAAATTTTAATTCTCATTCAGTGCCAATGTAAGGAGATTTTTGGTATAATTGTATACAACAGTAAAACAGCAACACAAACCACAAATGAACCAACACACATCTTTTAAGGTCACCTGCACCATATTCATACAATACATAAAAAGACTATTTAATTTTTTTTGTCTCTGAAGAAACCACCAACACAGTTGGAACCAAACCTGGCAGGAATAATATATATGGGAAGTCAATTACAAAATTCCTTGTTTGGTTTCTTTTGGAAAAGAAAGATGGCTGCTAGAGGCAATCTTTGATTCTGATAAGCCAAAAGAAAAATGTCTTTTTTGAAACTGCAAGATGAAATGTTTTGATAATTTAGGGCCTTGATGGTTGAAAGCACTTAAAAGATATTTCTGATTGCATATTAATCAGGCGCCAAACATGGTGTCTTTCACGACTCTTTGGTTCCACCTAGTTCCCATTAAAACTTTGTAGAATGTCTACTTTTACATGATTTTGATTGTAACTGATAATTCCTTCAATGTCTATACAAGTAAATTGTTTGCCATAATACCTGATATATGTTTGAAAATACAGCCAAAACAATAAAAAAAAATTCAGTTCATGGTTTCACCAAAGTTTCAGTGACTGATGAATTCTGTGTCAACCCTACTGGTTCTTAATTAAGTCAGTGCAAATAATGTAGCAATGTAAAATAAAAATCTCATTGCAATATCATTTTCAAACCATAATGTAAATGTCTTTGATGGATGATAACTTCTTTTTTCCAATGGTTATATGATAAGACCTTGGTGTCTGTTTATAGACTGAAGAACTGATTGCCATAATCTCTATAGAGCTACCTTTTTTAAAAGGGAAAAAAACTAACAATTGACGTCATGTATTGTTGGAATGATATTGATGTTACTGGCGGTTAATACTAGCTAGAGACAAAATATCTTTCACTTAGCATGCTTCGTTTGATTTTAACATATTATTCCTAATAGATCAGGATTCAAAATTATTCATCCTTGAAGATTTAAAACCTGCTGACATGAATTGGAAGAAATGAAATACAATTTGTATTATTGTTGCTATTGAAGAAGAAAGATATTTTTGTCTTGTATGTTTTGTTTACAAAGATGTCAATGCTTGCAGTACAGGAAAACAATGCAACTCCATTTTAAACATATTTCAAATCCTGTTAGGGTGAAAATGAATCTAAAAGCCAGACCTGAAATTCTTTCTCTTAGAGAAAGTAAAACAAATGTAAATAGTCATCTGCTCTTGTCATAACAAAAGCAGTCCTTGATACTGAAATCTTCAACTTAATATATATTTATAAAAAAATATCCAAGGTCTTAAATGATGGAATCAAAATACATGTATCATATGTTTTAGTCAATTGTGAATTACTCTTTTGAAGCCACTTATATATTTAGTCTTGCAAACCAATCTTGATAAAACTTTGTGTTTTTGCATGGCCATTGGAATTCTTGAACCCTATTTAATTCCAAGGTCAATTGTCAAAGATCTGATTATGATATATGGCAAAATGGGAAAAAACTAGTAATCAACAACATCA